GGTATATACTGTTTCTGCATTCATTGTTTGCCCACCATTTGGAGTTTGTGTTTAATTAGTCTTTTCTGTGGTGCTTGTGCTTGCATTTGTTTTTACTACTTCAGAAGATATCTTGATATGTCAAAACTGTATTCATTTTTATCTTTTTGGTTTGCATTTTATTTTTTATATTATTTATTGCTCGAAACAATTTAATTGATGGTTTTGGATTTTCTTTTTATATATACTTTGGTCTTCAGCTTTTTAATCTTGTAATCTGTTTTCCATTTCCTTTTCTTCATGCTTTTGTTGGTACTGATATCGTTTTGTTTCTTCTGATAGATCAGGGAAAGGGGTTATGGGTCATCATACTCATCAAAGTTGTATGGAGGGTCAGTATATCTTGTTTGTTAGATCTTGCCATTAATTTCCTTCTTTCCTGCATTTCCTTTTTTGAATTCATTTCCTAAATTTGTGTCTTGGAGCAGGTTGCCCTCACCTTCGACTCTTGATATATTGATCCCTGCTAATGCAGTTGGGAGAATTATAGGCAAGGGAGGGGCAAATTTATCCAACATGAGAAAGGTTTGTTACTCTATCTGACTATTTCTGTTCTGTCATCCTCTCCTGCTCTCTGACTATTAATTATGTTTAAGTGGAAGCCTAATTATGCGAGTTGAATGGTCATAAAATTTGTACAAGTTAAACTTTCTAGTTTGGCAAATTAAACTTAGATTACGGAGCTGGGTAAAGTTGGTTGTATAACAACATAATATTCCTAACTGTTTCAGGGAAATAGCAGATGTAATTAATGTAAATGATGTGAATTTAGTTAAGTTATTGCAAAAATGAATTTTTCATCCTCAGTTTATTTATGATCTCTTGATTTCTTTGGCCCAAAAAGGTTAAGTGTTTGTCAGATCCAAGTCCACTTTTCATGTGTAAAAACTTCTAATTCATCAGTGTTTCTATTAGTTTTTCTTAGAAATAACAGTTGCTTGAGCTTGTTCATTTCCTGAACAATTTGTTGAATCTACTTGGTTGAATGGTGTTCTCTGAGTTGCTTGTTTCCATTACAGATATCAGGGGCAATGATAGAGATTTCTGAATCTAAATCCTCTCGAGGTGATCGCATTGCTCTTGTATCTGGTACGCCTCAGCAAAAACATGAAGCAGAAAACTTGCTTCGGGCATTTATAATGGCCACCTGAGTTCTAAGGCCATTTTAAAGTTGAAGGTGAATAGTTAAACTTTGGAATTTTCCCTATGAAAAATTTCTTCTCCATAGTTCCTTTAGGTGTGGTTTTTGGAAATGGCTTCATGTTCTAGGCTTCTTCTGGTGTGCTCTTTCTATTTCTTCCATAACAGTGCCCTTAAAGATTCTGCCTGAAGATTTGCTGCTGCTTTGCTTTAACGTTCTTGGAGTTAGATTTCATCATTGTTTCTTAAGTTACCCTTCATCTGTGATATCTTAGAACTTTTTAGGATCCTTCTTTCCTTGCATAGATATGGGGTCATATCTTTTCTCAGCATGGTGTCCTTATTTCCAATATTATTATACTTAGACTTTGGTTGTTTGTGCCAGGAAATATTTCTAATAACCATAATTGACTAGCCTGTAGATGTATGTGATTATTTTCTGCCATTCATCCTTCACTCAGCTTCCCACTAGAAGGATCTATCTATTGATGGTGTGAAGTGCAATGCAGTTGGTGATTATTCCTCTTCATTGGTGTTCCCCTTGCTCACCTTGGTAGAGCTTCTTTGGTTAAAAAAAAAAAAAAAAATTTAAAACATCCACTGAAGTTAAATAATACTATTTTCAATTCTAAAGGGCACTTACATTCTCCTCCTTTTTTGTTTTAAACTAGTGCGATGTTTCTGGATTTATGTTAGATCATTGTGAAAGCTGAACCATGAGATTGTTGTGTCTTATCTCAGTCTGTCATTTGATTTCTCAGTTTCCCTCAGTTCCTTTGCTAAATGTTTTTTTGCTCTAATATCATCTCAATTCTCACACTATGAAAACATCCACTGTAATTAAATATAGTATTTTCAGTTCTAAAAGCACTTACAATATCTTCCTTTTTTCCATTTTTCCTTATAGCCAGAGGTTTGCTGTTAAACATGAAATTTAACAATCAATCTACTGGTGCTCAAGCTTTTTAAAGAGACCTTTTTTTCTTTTTCTTTATCTTGAATTGATATGATCTTCCTGAAACTTCACTAGCAAACTAGTGGATATATATCTGTTCTGAGTATACTAGCTAGCCATCACCTGAATTTGTTCCATGAGTAACTTGGATATGCTTCCTTTCCAGTCTTCTTTTTGCTTTAAAAAATCAATAGAGATTGTTGTATTTGAAGGTTTTTGGGAAATTCCTTTCGGTCTAGGACGTGGAGTATTTATAACAATGTTAATAAGTTGAAGTCACATTGTGCTCCTTGTAAGCATCATCATTGATACTATCTTCATTTATCATCACCTTGTTTCTAGAGTATACTACACTTTATGTGTCCGCCATGGTTGATTCCCCTGATTTTCTGTCAACATTTTCAATGCTCTATAAGGCTAAATGGAAAATATGTTCTGATGAAAGAAAGAAGGTGAGCAAGGGGAACATGAAAACAGTAGATTCATTTCCTGTTCTTCTGATAGTTTAATTATGTGATTCAGTTTGTGTTTTCTGTACTATCTCTTCCTTCCGTTCTCCAACCCTCAACAATGAGGAACAGTGCCTTTGTTCTTCTAAGTTGGTTATTTACTAGATTACTTTAGCATTTTTCATGATCTTGTATGAGCATGCACTCCCTTGTTCCAAAAATGTCATCCAGCAGCAGTTAGAATCATTTGGACTTCTAAATTGCTTGTGAGCAGTTCTTAGAATGTTAGACTTGGGTTGTCTGTCCATATCTCCAATGATTCTGTGCTATATATGTCCCTGTTTTATTCTGTATTTTTTGTTTTTTCGTTTTTTAGTAAACATGATCAAATTCTAATCCTTGCGGCATATGTGACTATATTTAGGATTAAGAAACCTGCATTGCCTAGCTAGGTTATCAAGGGCCATATATGTTTAGGGTATATTTGATTTGAGGGAAATGGAAGCAAGGGGATGGAAAATCTTCATCCAATCAAAATTAACACGTTGGGTTAAAATCTTAATTTGATTGGATGAAAAATTTTCCCTCCTCTCTTTTCCACTTCTCTTAAACCAAAACATACCTTAGAGTTTGAAGGTAAAGAGTTAATGTTGCCTTGATCATATTTAAGGACTTGTGCATGATTTATATTTAGTATAGTATATGTTTTTGTGAACATGTCTTTAATAGTAACACCATTCATTCACTGCTTAGGCTTTTCAGATGTAATGTTATGTGATTGTTGTGACAACATCTAACATTTGTATGTTAGATTAGAATTGTTCTTGTTGTTAATATATAATAATCTTGTATATTGTGGAAACAAAGAGAGATTTGTATTTGGGTGGCCATGTAAATAGTTGTGCTGAACTCCTCTCTTGCTTTTACTGAATATTAGTCATGTAATGTTGCTCCATCTCTATCTTACAACTTAATTTCATTGTAATGTCACTCCATTCCATTGTTCTCAAAATTTTCTAGGGAAAATTTTTGTTGCATTCAGGTGTGGATGGAAAGAGGGTCCCTTTCTCTTCACCATATTAATATTATATATATATATATATATATATATTTCTTCTGGGATAAAGTGATATTGGTATCTTAAGAATAGGGAGTATTTTAATAACAGAAGCAAAGGTACAGGC